CCAGACAGCGTGTGCTCCCAGTGTTCTAGCTGGAGATATCTTTGTTCTCCTCCCGGTACTTTTCCTCCCCTCGCCCTCTTCGCTTATCCCGCCCTTCTCTGCTGGTACTTTTCCACTCGCCTGGCTGAATCAGCCGCGGTGAGCAGCCGCTTCGTCGGCAGCGTCTCACGTGACCCGTTTCGGGAGACTGCTGCAGTATTGACGTTTCCCCTTTACCTTCGCAGGCGAGGCAGGACCCGCGGCCGCCAAGGACAAAAGATCACGAGGACCCCGGGCGGCCGCTCCCGACCCAAATAAATAATTCCTGGGCCTCACTGACCCGCTCCCTAAGAAGCACCCTGGATTCCAGCATGAGCAAAGCTGAAATGGGCAAACTCAACAGCACCCGCGAGGAGGACAGCAGCAGCTACAGCTCGAACAGCAACGACTTCAGCTATCACTACCCCACCAAATCAGCTGCTATGAAAAGGTCAGGGAGATTTCTCTGCCTCGCTTTGAGCTACAGCACCACCTCTTCGAGTCCGTGTCCCAGCGGACTGAGCTGGGGGTAGGCAGACAGGCAGACACTCTAGATGGAAGAGAATTCCACTTTTGGAATTCCCCCACTGAGGGAAAATGTTTAAAAGTGCCAATATCTTAACGTTTGTATATATCACAAGTCAGGAAAAAGAAGACAAGGTTAATCTTTTCAAATTGTTGAGCCGTTTATTCAGATTTTAACTCGGTTAAAAATCAGTGGAATTTTACAGGAGTATTTCAAGTTGCTCTTTCCCTTCCTTTCACAGCCATTACGTAGATATGGATCCAGAAAACCAAAACTTTTTACTTGAATCCAATCCAGGGAAGAAGAAATATGAAACTGAATATGTAAGCACACACCACTAATCTTTTCACTGAGTGAAATCAAGTTTATTGAAAACCTCTCACAAGTAAGAGGTTCTGAGCAAACTCTGAACTTTTACCATGCTTCTTATTATTTACAGCATCCGGGTACAACTTCCTTTGGAATGTCAGTATTTAATCTGAGCAATGCAATTGTGGGCAGTGGTATCCTTGGACTTTCTTATGCCATGGCAAACACAGGGATTGCTCTCTTTGTGTAAGTATTAGAATGCAATCAAGTTACAATACCTTGTTGTTTGTGCATCTAATTAGGAAAACATTTGTAGGTGCTTGCTTCAAGCCTAAAACATAATTCTACTAGAGTATTTGAACACATGCCAATTTAATCCCATGGACATGATTAGAGGTAAGATCCAGTGGACACTTATCTATAAATATACTTGAACTCACAGAAAATTGCTTCGGTGTGGCAAGCCTATGGGATTAGGCTGCAAGTTACTTTAAACACAAAAAAATTCAGCCCAAACTAATAATTTAGAGACCTAGTAACTTCAGTTGAAGAATAAAACTCATGTTTAAGTTTCTCATATTGAAGCCGGTAAGATTTTAAAAGTTTGCACAACTCATATACATCCTGTTTCTTCTTTGTGGGCCAAGGAAGTTAAAGGAAATATTCTGAATTTATACACTCTAAAAAAGAAATTGCACTCACTTTTTTAATGCTTTAATTATAATTTGTGAAGTTGCTTCTTCTTTAGTTTGAGTGCTGTGTCTTTCCTCAAAACTGATTTTTACTTTAATATAAATATCACTGCATTCATTTTCCAAATAGTGGGGAAAATACTTCAATGCATCCATTTTAATTTCTGGATTATAATGTTCTGCAACTAGACTTCAATACCATTTAATGATGATGGCATCCTGCATTTTTGCCTATAGCATTATAAAGCATTTGTCAGTTTTGCTTGTCAGATTCTTATAAAAAAAAAAAAAAGTTTGCTGCTTGGTCCAGCTTTAGATAAGAAAATGGAATGTGTCTGATTACAAGGAAACAGAGATTCTGAGTAGACTTTAGCTATATTCTCACTGGTATGAAAAGCAAAGAGATGCATATAGATATGTTTTTATTAGAAGGCTGTTTAAGTTTATATTAAGTACACCGAAAAGATAAAGAACAGCATATTCAGAAAGGCAAATATATAATGGCAGAATATGTTGACTATTAATAGAAACCAAAGAAATATGGAAATAACCAAGTTAATATTTTAATGTTGGCTACAGGATTAAAAATTCACATGTGCCTCTAGGGATTTTTGTGATAGTAAATCAACCTTCCTATATCATTAGAAATTAATATAAAATCTAAGAGCATTTACAACTGCATTTCTCTCTTTCATTAATCCATATCAACAATGAGGGAAAGTCAAGCTGTTGAAGGCAGTGAGCCTAGTTATGTTATTTGGGAACAAGTTTCACTGAATTTTAAATAATATGCATGAAATACTCTAAGTGGAAACAGCTTTGGTCCCTCAAATTCATCTTTAAATATGAATTCATTCAATATGTGTGTGTAAGCTCATGTTCTAAATAGCCCAATTTTCTTTAAGTGCAGTTGCATATTTAATGCTTCTGAATTTCCCCTTCTCTCTTCTCAGGTCCCTCAAAATGATTCATTGATGGTCATTCGGGGATGTCTCAACATGCAGTATGCTGGTAATGTTACTGTTGCCACCAAAACAAACTGAAGTGTGAAGCACATTTTGGTGTATGGCATTTATTTTTCTTTTGCAAATTGTTTTAAAATAACTCTTGCTAGAATATGAAAAAAAAAAAATAAGCAAAAAAGTGCCATACGGTTTTTTTAAAAAACTGAGACAGAGACAATAATTTTACTGTATTGTGCCATTTCATGCTCCAAGAAAGTTTTGCAGTGGTTACAAGTCATCAGCATAATGCATGCTGTTGGGACTCTCTGAAAGGCAAGGTTTGACAT